AAATAAAATTCTGTATTCAGGCTGTCCTTATGCAAAGCTCTTGGTTAGTACCAGAGGAATGACTGACATCTGGCCCACCGAAACTGGACTTTTCCCTCAACCTGCACGAGGGTTTGCAGCTCAGAAAAGTCCAAAGTCACCAGGACACACGAGGCCCTTGTCCCCTGCCTGCAGCAGGTCCTCTCTTCAGCCAGATCTAAACTTGTTGGCCACTGGTTTTTGAACTCTGGTTTCAGCAGCGTTGACCTTTTCTTCCTGTTTCTGCTCCACAGGTCCTCCTCACATTCACTCCTGTGGTTTGATCTTGTCACGTGTAGGCCGTTGTTTATGCTGTGGGAAACGGGCCATAGAATTTTTGGCCCTCCCTGAGAAGTTTGCTTATCTGTGAAGTTCAAGTTGACCTATATTTCGTCTCTTTCACCACCTCAGAGTTGACATTTCCAGGGGGCGTATCTCTGAAATTTAACCTGGGGCCCCATTTTTGCACTGCCGTTTTCAACATGGTGGTACCCAGGTGGTGGAAGCCAAATGCCGGAAATAAATGAAATTTGGGTTTTTTGTTCTTTGGTTTGTTTTTAAACACCGCGTGTGACGGATGTTGATGTGCCTTGGCGGGAGTGTTTGGGACTCTGATCTGAGACTTAGGTAATTAAAGAAGTGGGTTGGCATTTTCTGTAAAGGCTGGTAGCCTTAGGTCTGCATGTGGATGGTTGGGTTTGGGTCTGTTGTTGATAATCCTGGAAGCAGCTTGCAAGGAAGAAGGAGCCTCTTTAAACACGTGTTGGTATTTTGGGTGCATGTAACCTTTTAGTACCAGATTTGTCATCTCACATGTGCCCTTCATTAAAATCGGGGCGCTATGGAACTAGCTTGAACTTGTTTTTCTGGAGTCTGATGAAGCATCTCCCTTGGTGCCTCCCAGTCTCAGCAAATGCTAGGGCGGTAATGATTGTGACACACAGCTCCCAGGCGAGGAATCCTACGTTTTGTTCACAGTTCACGCAATTTCTTTTGGAGTCTGACAGAGCTAAATAGAAAAGGGAGATGGGCATTGATTGTGTCATTAAAGACCAGAGTTCTGTTTTGCATCTCATGGAAAAGGGGGAGGAAAGGAACCTTCAGGAAGTGTCTACTGTGCCCATCACTGTGCAAAGCTCATTTTATTTTTAGCATTCAGTTTACCAAGAAAGATGTCGAAAGCCACGGGGTGCCTGGTTATTGAAGTGTCTCTAGCAAAGAGTTGATTACTCAAGGGAGCACTGTTAGAATTTTTTTTTTTGAGTCAGAGTTTCACTCTGTCACCAGGCTGGAGTGCAATGGCATGATCACAGCTCACCGCAGCCTGGACATCCTGGGCTCAGGCAACCCTTCCACCTCAGCCTCCTGAACAGCTGGGACTACACGTGGGTGCCACCACGCCTGGCTGCTGTTAGCATTTTCAGCAGTAGAGTTCTTCATTGTACAGGACTGTGCCCCAACTTGAGACACATTTATTAGCATCCTGGTGCCTCATGCGCTAGGTGCTTCAGTCTTCCCTGGTCATTGTAACCGCCAAATCCACCCCATTGCTGTTTCCAAGTACCCTCTCTAAAAGGCCATTCTGCTCTCAGCATTGGCAGTTGGCTTTCAGTAGACAGACAGTGCCAAAAAAAAAAAAAAAAAAAGTATATACATTTTAAGAAAGGAAAAAACTCAATAGTACTCCAGTATACTGTTGAGTGCGTTTCAGAGAGCTGATGTGCAGATTCCTTCCCTGATCACATGCTTCTATTGCGATAGACCATCCCCCAAGCCAGTTTTGTGTTTTTATTATCTAAGATTTACATAATGTCTTATGTTTGTGAAACAAGTATTTATCCTGTGCTGTATAATTGGAGCACAGTTAGCTCTTTCTGTTGATTAAAAAGGCGTATATTCTGTATAGTCTATGGCTTTATTTTATTCACCTTTCCTCTTAAACGTTATGGCAACATTCATTGTAGTCAAAAACATAATGTGTTACATGTTTCATCATTATATTTCCTTCTTTTCATCACGTTTTTCTAAGATAAGATTTTATGGAAGGAATTGACAGAAAGACTGACTACTACAAGCTTCTCCCTAACCGTTGGCACCTGTACGTTTAGTTGACGGTTAATGAATGCGTAGACATTTTATCTTCAAGTTGCATTTAACCAATCAGCAGTATTTCTTGGCAAATCTCAACTGCTAGCAGAAGTATTCTCCTTTCCTCAATCTTTGACCTGATTAAGCTCATCAAGTGTGATGGTTTCTGTAGACTCTGCATCACAGTTGGGTTCTCTTGCACTTCAGTGAGAGAAGAGTGAGACTTGGATTCATTCGTGCAGCAGTTATTGACTTGGGATCCAACCGTAAACAACAGATAATTATCGCTGCTTACACGTTAGCATAAGTGAGTATAATAAGTAAATTACGAGTTAGTAGGAGGTGGTCGGTACTGTGGAAAATAAGTGACTTTGGAGAGACGGACAGGAGTGCCGGGGTTGGGCTGGAGGTGCAATTTTGAAATTGGGTGGTTTGGGAAGTTTTCTCAAGAAGGTGACTTTTAAGCAAAGACCTGGAGGGGACTTGAATGCTTATTCGGCTCCTATGATGTTCCGGGCACTGTTTTAGGAGCCAGAATGGCTAGATCTAACCTCTGTAATCTGCAGGAAACAAATTGCATGGGTGAGGGTGCCCCAAACCATGTCTGTGGAACATGGATATTAACATTAATTAAAAAAAAATCATTTTGGAGTTAATGGCACCTACTTTGGTAAGTAGGATTGCAAGAGGTGAACTTTTTTTCTTAAGCAGATGACCACCTCAGACGATAGCGAATAGCGGACATTTGTTTTCAAAGGGAAATAGAAGCAAAAACACTGAGCGTGGAATGAGTTTTGTGTCCAAGTCCAGTGGTTCTTCTGGAGTTAGCTTTTTTCCAGCTGGTGACATCAGGGTGGTGACAAGGGTCCTCTAGGGTGACAGGGACAAAGCAGGAGATGTCGCTTCAAACAAGGATGGCATTCCTTGTAGGACCGTGTCTCTACAAAAACATCACATAATTAGCTGGGCATGGTGGCGTGTGCTTGTAGTCCCAGCTAGTTGGGAGACTGAGGTGGGAGGATCGCTTGAGCCCAGGAGGTTGAGGCTGCGGTGGCTGTAATCCTGCCATTGCACTCTAGACTGGACAACAGAGTGAGACCCCAATTCAAAAAAAAAAGAGACAGTTTTTGTGGGGAAACTTAAAAAACAGTGGACCAGAGACTAGAGACAGGAGTTCGTTCATGCCTCGGCTGCCAGCCTGCTCTGTGATCTCGGGCACATTCCCTGAGCCCCTCCCCTTCTCAATGCCACTAATTACTTATAAGATGCGGCGCTGAGCACTTTATGTCCATCAGCTCGTTTAATGAGAGAAGTTAGAAGAAGACATGAGGAGGATGAACTTCACAGGATGACGGTTCAAGTTCTTGTCTAGCTCTTGACTTCCTTTTTTCCTTGATTTGTGAGTTCAAAGACACAATCAGACAACTGTGTGTCTGATGATGAGCTCATGTATGGAAGCCATGCCACAAGATATGGTTCTTTGTCATAGTTCAAGCCGTGGTGTGTAGGGCAGGGTCTGGAGTCCCGAGTTTTTCTCTTCCTCCTGACATCCCGGGTGGTGTTAAGAAGGTCATGTCCGGCTGGGCTCGGTGACTCAACCTCTAATCCCAGCACTTTGGGAGGCCGAGGTGAGTGGATTGCCTGAGCCCGCGGGTTCGAGACTAGCCCTGGCAACTTGATAAGACCCCACCTCTATGATAAAAATCAAAAAAAGTAGCCAGGCGTGGTAGTGTGCGCCTGTCCATCCAGCTCCTTGGAAGGCTGAGGCGGAAGGATCGCCGGAGCTTAGCAGGTCAAGGCTGCGGTGGCCGGGAGCGTGCCGTGGCACTCCAGCCTGGGTGATGGAGTGAGACTCCAACTCAAGAAAATGGAGGTCGTGTCCTATTTAGCTATTTTTTTTTGCAGTGAGGTGTGTGTCTGGGGTGGGGGGCGTCCGGCATGAGTCTCCTTGTGATCTCACCTGTACAAATATCAGTCCCAGATTTCACTTCTGTTTCCTGAACTTTGAATGGGATTGCCATCCATTCATCCATGCATCCATCCATCCATCTCTCCTCCCACCCACCCATCTTCCATCTAAATATCTCGCCATTCATTCCTCCCTTCCTTCCTCTGCAGTTGGGGATGTATTTCTGTTCGACAAGTTAGAAATGGAACATCCTATGAAAAATTTAACTAATAAATTTGCATAAATCCCGTGCATTGGAGCTGGAGGGAAGCCAAGGCGCTATTCTTGCTCTGAGGGAAAAACCACGGGGCGTCCACAGTCTCAGATAACCCTCCAGAGTAATAGAACTTCTGGAGCCGGGCTCGGTGGCTCAGCCTGTAATCCTGCACCATGGGAGGCTGAGGTGAGTGGATTGCCTGAGCCTGCAGGTTCGAGACCCGCCTGGTCAACTTGGCGAGACCTCATCTCTACAATAAATCAAAAAATCAGCCGGGCGTGGTAACACACGCCTGTCGTTCCAGCTACTCGGAAGGCTGAGGCGGAAGGATCGCCGGAGCCCAGCGGGTCGAGGCTGCGGTGGCCGGGAGCGGCCACTGCGCTCCAGTCTGGGCGGCAGAGTGAGATTCCAACTCAAAAAAAAAGAACTTCTAGGGTGGTCACGAGGACCTCTGCCTTTATCTATTTATGAGTGAATCACCTTCGGAAGATGTGTAAGGTGTTATACCCAGGTGGCCTCCACCTGATGGCCCCGTGCACCAGTGACGTTCTAGAGTTCTCTTTTGGTTGGAGTGCCTTTGTGTGTCTCATCGGGGGCCTGATGTGACCCGAGCGCTCCCTGCGCTGACCCCCGCCCCGATCCCCGGCCCCGAGGCTGACGTGCCGGCTCCTGGCCTGTCGCGGGAAGGACTCTGACCCTCACCTCCCTGCTGTCTTCCCCGTGTTGTAGATGATGACCCAGGTGGAAGGACAGCAGAGGAACCTCGTGCACGCCATCGAGTCCCTGCCGGGTTCTGGCCCGCTCACCGCCTTGGACCAGGACCTGCTGCTCCTGAAAGCCACCTCTGCTGCCACCCTCAGCTGCCTCGGGGAGTGCCTCAGCTTGCTCCAGCAGAGCGTGCACCAGACGAGCCAGCCCAGCCACAAGCCAGGGGCCTCAGGTAAGACCCCCTGGAGGCTTGTCGTGTTTGGAACAAGGACCACCCAGTCCCCGTGTGTGTCCCACTGTTGTCTTCCTCCTTTACTGGTTTGCTTTTTGAGTCAGAGTCTCGCTCTGTCAGCCAGACTGGAGGACAGTGGCGCCATCATGGCTCACCGTACCCTCAGCCTCCCGAGTAGCTGGACTACAAGCCTGCGCCACGATGCCTGGCTGATTTTTAAAAAATTGTTTTGTAGAGATGCGATCTCGCTATGTTGCCCAGGCTGGTCTCGAACTCCTGGCCTTGAGCAATTTTCCCACTTTAACATTCCAAAGTGCTGGAATTACAGCCATGAGCCCCTGTGCTCACCCTGTCCTCCTTTAAATCTATCCATTTCTCATCCACCCATTCATCCACCCGTCCGTCCACCCACCCACCCCTCCTCCTATCCACCCATCCTCATCTAAATATCTCTCCATTCATTCCCCCTTCCTTCCTCTGCAGCTTGGGATGTATTTCTGTTCGACAAGTTAGAAATGGAACATCCTATGAAAAATTTAACTAATAAATTTGCATAAATACCGTGGAGGCTTTTTTCAGATTTGCTGGCATTCCATTATAAATCTCATTTCATTTCATGACTTTCAAACTCAGTATTCTCTTTTTTATTCCTTTTGCTTTGCTTTATTTTATTTTATTTAGAGACAGAGTCTGGGTCTCCCTCCCAGGCTAGAGTGCGGTGGCGCAATCATAACTTTGCATTCTCCAACTCCTGGCTTCAAAGAATCCTTCCTCCCAGCCTCCCAAGTAGCTGTGACTACAGGTGCATTCTACCATGCCTGGCTAGTTATTTTATTTCATTTTTGTAGTGATGGAGTCTCGCTGTGTTGCTCAGGCAAGTCTTGAACTCCCAACCTCAAGTGATCCTCCTATGTCAGCCTCCCAAGGAGCTGGGACTCCGGGCATGTGCCACCATGTACAATTAATTTAAAAAAAAATTTTTTTTTTTTGAGAGACAACATCTTGCTATGTTGCCCAGGCTGGTCCAAACTCCTGGCCTGAAGCAGTCCTCCTGCCTCAGCCTCCCACAGTGCTGGGATTGCAGGCATGAGCCATCACGCCTGCCCATCAGCGTTCTGTTTTTAAGATCCATTGCCCTGGCCGGGCTCGGTGGCTCAGCCTATCATCCCAGCACTTTGGGAGGCCGAGGTGAGTGGATTGCGTGAGCCTGCAGGTTGGAGACCAGCCCGGGCAACTTGATGAGACCTCGTCAATAAATCAAAAATTAGCCGAGCATAGTAGTGCACGCTTGTAGTTCCGGCTACTTGGAAGGCTGAGGAGGATGGATCGCTGGAACCCAGCAGGTCAATGCTGGGATGGCCATGAGCGTGCCACTGCATTCCAGCTTGGGCGATGGAGTGAGACTCCAACTCTATAAAGGAATGAATGAATGAATAAATAAACCAGTCCATTGCCCTGTAACCTCTCGAGTCCATGGCTCCCATGGTGTGCATCCACCCTGTTTTACCTGGCCACTCTCCGGTGAGGACACGCACAGTGCCTCCAGCCCTCTGCCCTACTCGCCCTGCTGCAGTGAACGTCCCTGTGCTTGCATCCTCATGGGCCTGGGCGAGACTGTCTCTAGGATACATACCGGGTTCTAGTTCTTCAGCCAGAAGCCAGAGATGATAGTATGCTCCTTGGGGATGCCTCAGCCCTTTGGGAGGTGGGCTGAACAGGTGCACAAATATAAACATATTAGTGAAGATCTGGTTCAGCGATGAAGGTAAAAATGGCTTGAAATTGGTCATGTCGTATGCAACTAATAAGTATTATAATTAACAGAAGGACAGAAGCCTCAGTGTGCTTTGTTGCCCCGGGGTCACTTAATGAAGAAATGAGACAACTCAGTGCAGGGAGTGAGTCTGGGTGATGAGTGGCAGTCTTTGTACTTCATGCCTTCCTTAAGGGCTCTTTTTTGGGTGCTTTTTCAGGGTGGACTATGTATGCATAATTTGGCTTTCTTTTTTCTTTTTTCTGGTGGGGTCTCGCTCTGTTGCCCAGGCTGGAGTGCAGTGGCATGATCACAGCTTACCACAGCCTCACTGCCCGGGCTCAGGTAATCCTCCTACCTCAGCCTCCTGTGTAGCTGGGACTATAGTTGTGTACTACCATGCCTGGCTAATTTTTTTGTACTTACAAGATCTTGCTATGTTTCCCAGGCTGGTCTCAAACTCCTGGACTCAAGCGATCCTCCTACCTCGGCCTCCCAAAGTACTGGAATTACAGGCACGAGTCACCACACCCAGTTGTGGTTTTCTTTCTGTAGTACCCACCATTGTTTATTGAGCTCAGCCTTTGCTACCTGCTATATGTGTTCTGAAATCTGGACAAAGTGGCTATCATCGTGCTCATCTTCTGGGTGAGACGGCTGAGGCTCAGAGCAGTTAAATGACCTGCCCAAGACCACCCAGCTCAGTGGTAGAGCTAAGGGCTCTTCCTGCTACAGAAGGCACCTTCCTCTGCTTGGGGTTCTCTGTTCAATCTGGACTACCTAGCAGGCTCGGAGTCCCCCAAGCTGGGACTAGTGTCTTGCTAGCACCATAATTCTCTCAGGGCAGGCATATGTTTATTTTATTTTATTAAAAAATAATGTCAGAGCTGGGCTCGGTGGCTCAGCCTGTAATCCTGTGCCTTTGGGAGGCTGAGGTGAGTGGATTGCCTGAGCCCGCGGGTTCGAGACCCGCCTGGGCAGGCGAGACCTCATCTCTACAATAAAATCAAAAAATTGGCCGGGTGTGGTAGTGCGCGCCTGTAATTCCGGCTACTCGGAAGGCTGAGGCACAAGGATCGCCGGAGTCCAGCAGGTCGAGGCTGTGGTGGCCAGGAGCGGCCACTGCACTCCAGTCTGGGCGACAGAGTGAGACTCCAACTCAAAAAAAAAAAAAATTTCAGGGCTGGGGCTTAGTCTGTAATCTCAGCCCTTTGGGAGGCTGAGGTGAGTGAATTGCCTGAGCCCATGGGTTCGAGACCAGCCTGGGCAACTTGGTGAGACCTCGTCTCTACAATGAAACAAAAATTAGTCAGGCATGGTAGCACGTGCCTGTCATTCTGGCTACTCGGAAGGAAGGCTGAGGTAGAAAGATCACCAGAGCCCAGCAGGTGGACTCTGGGGTGGCCGTGAGCATGCCATTGCACTCTGGCCTGGGCAATAGAGTGAGACTCCAATTATTATTGTTATTATTGTTTCAGTACTTTGGGAGGTGGTGGTGAGAGGATTGCCTGAGTCTAGGGGTTCAAGACCAGCCTGGACAACATGGTGAGATCTCATCTCTACAGTAAATCAGAAAATTATCCAGGTGTGGAGGTGCTCATCTATGGTTCCAGTTACTTGGAAGGCTGAGGTGAAAGGATCACCTGAGCCCAGCAGGTTGAGGCTGAGGTGGCCATGAGCGTGCCACTGCACTCAAGC